TTTGGTGGCCTCTCTCTGTTCGAAATCCCCTCCCCTTCGCAAACAGCAACAGCAACAATGCCAGCCTTGGGGAAACCCTAGATTTTCCCGAGTGCAACCGTCGACGACCACTTCAATTTCAATGTAATCTCTTTAAACGTGAAACTACAATCGACGAACCTCTAAATGAGTTTCGATTTCTGTGGGAGAGGAAGGGGAAACGAAATCAATTTTAGATGCCAACTCGCTGCACTTTATTTGATTTCATTACTCGGCCATTTTCATACTTTCCCTGTACGAACAATCAAACATTGATGTCAGAATTTAATATGCTGTATAAATCGTTTTGAGCCATTGACTCATTCATGCGTTCAGTTTATATATCTATATACTATATATATATATTTCGAATTCGTAGAATCAACAAACCAAAGTTGTCTCCATGGAATGTATGTAAGCCGCCCTCCTCGTTCTTTTTTTTGGTATTTGTATGGAAAAAATATTTATATTTACACGCAACTCATACAGCGGCAGCGTCACTCCACGTTTCCTTCTTTTTTTTACTTCTTTGTTTTGTGAAAAGCATATAAAAAAAAGCAAGAATTTTCCACTCTTATTGCTTTTCGAAGCTTTTTCAACGGTTCACATTTCATTTATTTTCACTGGCTCCCTGAGTGTGTGTGTGTGTGTGTGTGCACTTCACAACTTAATACACTTTATTATTGAAAATATTTTTTATTACAAGTGGGCTGGGCCTGATCGCTGAGAGGGTTTCCCGGAATTATTCGTTGGCTTGGCTATATATATAACCCTGACACGCAGCTCTCATAGTTCCGTTTGTTGGGCATTGATTTGCTGCACTCGTTTCGAGGAAATACAAATATAAATATACAAAAAAAACAGCAACCACCCACCCCTCCCCCACACAACACTCTTATATATAGTACCCACTTTTTATATACATTTTATAGCTGCCGCTCTAGCTGGCTCTCTGATTTTGATATTCATGTTGCATGTTGCTGACTTTTGAAGTTTTTGGCAATTTCGAACTGGAACTTTTTTTGTTGAGTGGGCGTTGGTTTTCTTTTTTGGGGGCCCCCAATTTGAATGGCTCTCTTTGCATTGTTTACTTTAATTTACATTTCTTTTTTTTTTCGCTTTTTATGCGTTTCTCTTTGTGGGTGGTGGGGATGCTGAATTGATTCTTTTTGTTTTTCGGTTTCGTATGCAAATTCTGCGTGAACTTCTTTAATGAACTAATTTTGTGGCAGAGCTGAGCTGCGATCTGCCTGCTGCTTCTGCTTCTGCTTCTCCGATTATTTATGTATTTCCCGCTTACGCTCGCAACGCTGAATTCAATTAGGCCTCTCAACCCCTGTTTATTTATGTGGCTGGCTGCCTCATTTGCAAAAGTTGCCAAAGATTCGCTTCAGCCGCCTCACTCTCAGTCTGTGTATGTGTCAGTTTGATAAATGATATCAATTTCTTATAGACCCCCAACACACACACACTCACACACAGAGGGCATCAAAAGTTTGTTTTAGAATGTTTCTGTTTTTGTTTTTACTGGCTGACTGCTGCTGTTTCTTCCCCCTTTCAAGACCCAAGACCAAGTCCAAGTCCACTTTTGCCAATTTGACACTTTTAGCGATGCGCGTGTGCCTTGGCACTTGAATTTCAAATGTATCTCAAGGCCTGTCAGTTGAGAGCATGAATTTTTAATGCGGAATGAGGCAATCTCTTAGGGCACCGTTCGTAGCGTAGCGACTTCTTCCCAATATGCTAATCGGCCAGGCCTGAAGCGGGTTGAGTCTTCATTCGCCTTCAAGCGGAAAACTTTTTCTTTCCAAGATTTGCCTAAGTAAATTATCCAAAAAGGGGGAAAACAGAAGTAAATGGTTTTTTGCCAGGCAACAGGTTTTAATAATACTTTTTTTTGTATTTTATTAAAAGATTTTATCAAATTTTTATCAAAACTAAAATTTAGTAAATTGAAAAGGCAAGCTAAGCTATCATCACAGTTTTCAAACAATTTCATTCAAAAGGCATAGATAGAAAGCTTTTTCCCATATAAATTTTAAAATTCCCCAAAACAGCCAGTTGGGTCCATAAATTATGTCAGCCATAGCCCCCTCCTGACTCTCTTTTCCCCAAAAAAATATATCGAAAAAAATCTCAGCAATAATTTAAAATGCCAACGGACATTCATAACGAGCATACAATTAACACAAATTCCCATTGGCAGGCAGCTATTAGCCCAGAAAAACATACATCGCGCAGATACATTTGTATCTGCGGACCCACCAAGTAGCCAGATACAAAAAGAAGCAGAAAAAAACAGAATACAAACGGCGCGACAGACGGACGACAAAAAGGGCCGCGGGGCAAACGGTTTCCAGATCTCATGTAAATGACATCGCAGGGAGGGGACTGGCGGACTAGAAAAACTTTCGGCCACTAATCTATAATGCTGTCAGCCATTAAACAACTGAAAAACCAAATTTGTAACTCATTAAAACAAAGGCGAGGAGGGGAGGGGGAGAGAGAGAAAGAGGGGAAAACATGGAAAAAACGAAACTAACCAAAGTGAATGACTGATAAATGCCACTCGGCTGAGCTGTCTCATTTGGACTGCCAAATAATATTTAATTATAAACAAATAAACGAGACCCCGGGGTTAAAGTCAAGCAAGAAAGGTGCCGAGTGATTAATTATTATGTCAGGGAATTAAATCAAATATTTGAGTGGCGAGGAGAGGGAGAGGGAGAGGGAGAGGAACCCTGGTTGTCTTTACCCAAAAATCACGAAATGCAAATAAAAATGACTTTAAGGAAAGTCCAAGAAGAGCTAGGGAAAATGCGGCGGCGGCATGAAAAATTGAAAAGCCAACAGGCCTCGGTTAAAGATAACATAATCCATGGCCTGGAACCGTGAGGAACCTTTTTTTGTTTTTATTTTCCAAAGGGACAGGGGGAGAGGGAGAGATAGCGAGGGAAAAACATTAGCATATATCAATGCCAAATGCAAATAAATCATCAATAACATTTCTCTGCCACTTATGCACCACTTACAGATACTTACCCCGACGGAGAGATACCTGCCTGCCTGCCGGCCTGCCTGCCTCAACTGCAACTGCAGCTGCAGCAACGCGGGCTGCCTGCATTATTTTCTTGGATTGTGGATGGAAAGAAAGAAGGAAAATCGAACGCCAACGCGTCTCGTCGTTACGTCGTTACGTCGTTTCGTCTGTCATGTGCGAGTTTTGCGGCCCCTAACTAAGGCGCCTTGCATAAATTTACGCCAGAGGATAAGCCCGAAAAGAAAAGCGATCCGAAGAGCCGGGCAGACGACTGACTGACTGAAGGCAAACATAAAGCAATTTTATGCGTTTTTAAAATGCGGCAATTGACTGAAACAACAAAAGCGAACTGGAAAATTCAGGCAAGCCGCATGTGAGCACGTATTCCGCTTTTCCGTGAGGGTAAATCAAATACGAAAGAGATAGACAGAGAGAGAGAGAGAGAGGGAGACCAGACCAGACCGCAACGAAAGGACCAAGAGTACGAAACCCATACCCTCTGAATACCCTATAGAGCATATCTCAGTTTGCTGATAAGCAATATAACGCAAATGCTTGATGGTTTGTTGACGACCAACAAAAAGTTCTTCAGCTTGTGTGTAAACATTGAGGAAATACTGAGGAAAACAGCAGCAAGCAGCAGCAGGAGCAGCAGCAGCAGCAAGGACAACGTAGGAGCCAGCGTTTATAAATGCGCTACAGTTACAAATTGTTGCCACAGCTGTGCGTGTGTGTTTTTTGGTGCTGTGCGGCACATGTGCGCTCTAAACCATTTATAAATGTAACAAAAGCAACGCCAGCGCCAGCAGAAAAACGAGAAAAACCCAGTGAAAAGCTGAAAGCCCTTGGCACAAGTGCAATGCATAAATATAAACAAAGAGATACGAACTGAAGACGCTGAAAATACAGCACCAAGCACCAAGGTGTTATACGTTTCTTCTTTTTTTTTTGGGGGGATAAACAAAACGCGGTCATAAATCGATAATTCAAGGTGGCGAAAGACATAAAAAGAAAGGGAATCCAGTGAAAAGCATTTATAACTCCATAAAAAGTAACGCCTGAGATGGGATCAGGTGGGAAAAGTGTTCAGAAATATGAAAATAAAAATGAAATTCAATTAAAAAACAATTTTCTTGCCCAAGGAAGTTCAAACCAACAAACAAAAATCTAAAAAAAAAAGTGCAATTTAAGCAATTTGAGATACAAATTAAAATCTTCAAAAATATTATAATAAAAAGTGCTAAAATATCATCAAGAAGTTAAATTCCCGCAAATTCTATCTCCACCAAAACAAATTAGTATCTTCATAAAAGAAATCATCATCACACCACTGGCCATTCCCGGTTGAGTGCTAAAAATGTGCAATTTCAGCATTTTGTATCTAGAAGATACATTAGCGTTGCGTGTGTTTTTGTGCGTTATTTGGTATAATGACAATTTGACACAGGCAAAGTACTCGCACATGAAATTGAGCAATTTATATGCCAAATGTGTAATTTGATGTTCGGCCGAGATACATTTTGTATCTGCCGAGCAGATGTCGGTTAAACAGGACTACAGGAACTTTAATTGGGACCAGTTGGTTTGGCAAAAGTCTGCTCGTGCAAGTGAACAACATTGAGATACAAAGCGTATCCACAAGATACTTTTCTGTGTGTGTGTGTCTGTGTGTGTGTGTTGTGTGTGTGTGCCTGTGTATATGATGTGCAACAATAAACTTGCAAAAGAACATTAATTGCAACTGCTACTAGTTAAATGGCAGATGGTTAGTTGCAGCTGTGAGCTGAATTTCTATCTGCAAAATTAATTTTGTATCTATGAGATGCATTTTTCAAAGATTTTAAATATTTAAAAGACTAGAACTAGTTTTTTGCCGCAACAGCTGCAATTTATACAAAGCTTATCCATCATTAAACTAATAATTCCCTTCCATTCCACACAGAGCATCGTCCAGAATTAGCGCCATCGGAGGTAGGGAGCCAAGTAGCAACCAATGGAACATGTTGATGCCGGTGCGGGAGTACAACAAGCACATAGCCAAAATACCAAATTGCAAGATGAGGCAGCGGCCAACGCTTAGAGCCACCTTTGCATCCCTGCTGCTCCTTCTACTCCACTTAGTCCAGGCACTGGAACCGGCGGCAGCAGCAGCGGCGCCTGCCAGTGGTGCAGCCGGAAGTGGTGGTGCAGCGAGCGGTGCTGCAGGTTCTACATCCAGTGGCAATGCAGGTGGAGGTGGCAGTCTGAGCAGTGGACCACCCACTCTCATTGCCAATCTCACGGAACAAGGCAGTCCCGGTGTGTATAATTCGACAATGGGTTAATGCTAATTACCCGACTCTCTCTCTCTCTATATATATATGGCATTTATGTGGCTATTTAGCTGACCTTTCTGCCCTTTTACCCTCAACTCAAAATACGCTGCCATTTGGGGATTTGTTAGGATGTTTATGCGCGGTTCTGTTTGAGAAAATCTGTTAGATTGAATGTTAAAGGTATAAACTAATGATGGTGTTAGTAAGAAGAATAGATTTATTAGTGTGGCCATCCTTTTTAAAATCATCTAAGTGGCATCTCTTCTTCATTTATCTTCAATATTAGGTCAGCTTATAAAACCTAAAATCTATAAAAATATCAAACTATGCTAAAATGATTAATTTCCATTAAAATTAAAGATATTATAACCTTAAAATCGTTAACCAAACCCTTTTAATAAACAATCTGGCATCCCTTCAAGTAGATTTCCCTTCCTTTGGCCACACTAATTATTATTAAATTTCAGCTCAAGTCAAGATTTCGTGAAATCCTTACCATAAACATAGCTAAAATTTCGCTTGCGAGTGTGCTAATGTTTGTGTGTATTTCCTTGTGCGCATTTCCGGTTTCCGCTTCCGCTTGGCAAGCGGCAAGGAGGGTGGCAAAAACTATTAGCCACTTGGCGCTAAATAACACCACCCCATAACCCCCACTCGTCCCGTCCCTGCCACTGAAGCAAAACACTAAGCATCAATTAACCCAATTTTCAGAATCCATTTTCACCTGCAGTTACGGCTTCAGCTCACAGCTCACAGCTCCGGAGCTTTGGCTTTTTCTGAGTATTTTTCTAGCTGCGTGTTTCTCAGCCCCATGCTTACATATACATGGGCTTGCCTTTTCTGTTTTAGTTCTTTTTCTAACAGAGTTTTTCCTTTTGGCCAGCAAATACCCAAGTGGCAGTGTTGAAACCAACGTCCAACGTCCCAACTCCCAATTCCCCAGACCCACCTAATCCTATAGGTTTAATGCCGGGCACTCTTGTCCAGACTTTTCCGTGTTCCGTGCCGTTTCATCTTTTCTTTCGCAGGCGTTTGGCGCTATTGTTGTAGTTTGGTTTGGTTTGGTCACTGGACTTGGATCTGGAAATGGAAATGGAAATGGAGTGGAAGCCTGAAATCATAATTAATCCATTGATTTTTCAGATTCTTTTTTTGTTTTCAGCTTAAATAATTCACACAAATCATTTCAGCAATAAATATGAATTCTTTCGCAGCATTTAACAATGAATATTTCAGCAAACAAAAGTTCTTCCTTCCCCCCAGTCTAGGTTTCTCTTTCTTTTTTATTGTGTTAAAAAACATGGGATCCAATTACAAATTGATGAGCAGGTAATGAACGTAGCAAAAACATTAAAAAAAAAAGTGGAAAGTATATATATTGAATATTTTAATTTGGAAATGTCACAGTTGCAAACTTTGATTTCCCAATGTAAAGTCATAAATAATTCATTTTAACACATTCAACATTTATGAATAATTCCGTTGGGTTCTTTTTATGTTCTAGCTGTCGCTATTAATCAAATTATACGTTTACTATATGCATTTTTAAATTGTTTCTTTATGTCGTTAGGTCGCTTATGCAGCCGCCTGGAAATTTGGTCTGACAGACTGTCATAAAGTGCAGAATGCGGGTGGCTCTTGATTGATTCTCGTGGCCAAAAGTCCACCTGGAACGCAGCCAGATGTCGGGGATAATAAATTTCTGAAGATGTGACAACACTTGGGATGCATTTTATATGGCTGGAAGACTGCAGCTAAACGACCTGGATGTTGCCTGACCAATTGGGAAATTAATTATGAATTAACCTAAGGAAGTTGAATGCCAACTCAACTTTGAGCTGAAACAAACCTAAAATAAAGATGTACTTTAATGTTATCTTTAAAAGTATAAAATCTGAATCTAAAACTAAAATCACAACATCAATATCTCCTTTATACCTAAAAAATTATTGTAGCTTCTTCTTAAGAACCCCTAAGAACTCTGTTAACTAACTTTAAGATCTGGAAATAAAAAACTAATTTATATAAACTACCATGAAATGGCTTGTGGTGTGTCATCCTTTTTGGTTTCGTTTTCATGTTGAACTGTCGATCAAGTAACTCCTCGTTTGAGTTTGGGATCGGAGTCGGGGTCGGGGTTGGGGTCGGGGATACGCAGGAAGTTGTCTTAACCTGTCCATAAAGATGGCACTCCTCGGCCTACACGATTGCCGTTAAGAACTCGTTTTAATCTGAGACTCTTCTTAGCCAGCAACCTTCTTGTGGCTCTTGTTATTGTCGTTTGCCGTGAGATACGTCTTTTATGCATTTTCTGACTGCATCTTGATAGGAGACCCGGAGACGACGGGCCGGGCCAAAAAGATTGACTCTGGTTAGAGTGTTGATAAGGCCCCAGTTCGAACGGGCGATAAAGTCAATCAATCAGCTGGGCTGGCAGACAGCCGCGGCTCAAAGCGGACTTAATTATCTGTTTAGATAACCAAGGCCAAAAATAGCATTAGTTAGTGGTTGTTATGTTAAATAATGCTACAAAAGCGGTAATTTAATATGCCAATTGTGTGCGTGCGATGCGGCCACACAATGACCACAGTTGGCTTATGGCTATGACCATATTTAGGAGGCTTTTAGAGATGCTCGAACAAGACTTTGAATGGCTTTTATTAATATGTTAAACAAGCCATTTGGAAAGCTTAACAATTCCCGCATCGAGCCACCTGGGAAGTGTGGGAGATCTATGGCAAACCAAATTCATTCATAAAATAACTTTTGAATGAATATTATGCTAATAATGGAAACTAACTTTCTGGGTTGAAGTTAAGGTACGTGGATGGTTGTTTCTCAAACAAAAAAAAAGGTAAAGATGAATGATGATTTCTAGGTAAGTAGCTTTGTTTAGTACACAAAAGCATTTGTATACCTTAAGCAAACTTTACTTAAATATAAAGCAAGAGCAGTCTTTGCACATTCTTTGGTGAAAGAATTTATCTTAAATTTGATTTTGTTAAATTGCCTCTAAAATTATGTGCCGAACAATTTGCCAATCCAATTCCTGGCGAACTTAGAGCCACCCAAGAGGAAAACTTGTCGATTGCCAGGCCCTGGCCGAGAGGAGAAATAAAACTTTCACATAATGGCTTCGAAAGTTGAACACCCCGGCCGGCACAGCACATTGAGCTCACCTTTTTGCTTTGGCCTGGCCCAAAAACTTGTTCTTTTCGTCTGCCAAACAAATAGTTGGCCATAAGAAGTTGTTCAAATATTTATTTACTTTTTCAAGTTGCAAGCATATTTCCTTTTTTTTTTTTTTCTTCGTGTGTGTTGTATGTTCTTGTTGCCCGGTTTGGTCCAATGTTTATGTATAATTCCCTGGGCAAAGTTACCTACCGGCAGCTGGTGCGGTGGCGTTGCTGCCACTTTTTGCACTTCTGGCCAGGACCAAAACTAATAACAAATCTTTTCATTAGTTGCGTTAGACAAGTTAGTTAAAAAGTGCACTTTAGGCAAACAAATGCGTGTCTGAAGAAAGCAAAATAAAGCAAATTTTAAAAAAGGAAAAAACCAAATTGAATAGAAGAGGAGAGAAAAATCAGCTAAGCCAATAACCAGGAGGAACTTGGCCGGAACTTCGTCGGATGGGAAACTTTTGTGCGGTGGAAAGGGAGTGGTCTGTCCAAGTACTGAGAGCATAATGAAAGCATAACATTTAGTTAGCACCAGTGTATTCGCTATATAAACTGAAGCCCTGCCCCTGCATTGCCCTTCATGTACACACCGGATAGACAACAACTTTTCATTAATAACTCAAAAATGTTTTGTCTTCAAAAAGTTCACCTCTCTGGGAAGTTCGGGATGAGGATCAGGAGGAGGAAGGAGGGTCTGCTCCTCCGTTTCCTACAAAACTTTTATACTGTTGTGCTGAAAACAAATCAAAGGAGTTTCCGACAAAGTTATTTTTTCCTCCTTTTTTTGATGAGCAGGGAAGCAGAGGGGAGTGTGGGTGGGTGGCGAGGACTGTGACAAACAATGACAACGGCAATGAGCAAACCCAGCCATGACAATGGCAATTAAAGCTGCAGCTACAGTTATAGCTACAGAATCGGTCCGAAAGTTGGTCCATAAAAAGCATGGAAACACAACTATGGCAAATGGGTAAAAACTCTGGTAATAAAGGAAAATTATGATGATTTTCTATTTGGCATCGCGCCCGCGTTGAACAAAATCGTTTGGCGCGAAAACAAAGAACCATAAAACCGGGTCGGAGACTCTGAGAGGGGGAGGGAATCCCAACTAAGCACTCTGCGCCATCATCAAAGGAGAAAGCAGAGCGAACCAACTGGAGGAAAGAAATTAAATGACAGGAAAATATAAGTATTAAGCGATAACATTGTTGTTCTATCCCGAGAGCGTTAAGTGAAATCATTCACAGTCGAAAGAGCTGGCGACACGATTAAAATATCCTTCCGAAGAAATGGAAAAAAGTAGAAACTGAAAAGTTTGCAAAACTTTTAAATGTTTGAACAATTTTTATGGCAGTCAATAAGATGAGGGGATTACATTAAGAGACCATGAAAAAGATTGAAATGGAATAACTTAATAAGTTTGCTAAGTCAGAAAGTAGTTCAATTTAAAATGGAAGTTAATAAATTTAAAAGTTTATATGATTGTCGTTGGCTTACTAGTAACAGTAATGGATTTTTTTACCACTTCTTTTCTTTAATATATTTCCATCCTTTGAACCTTTTGCCTATTTCATCTTCCAACTCTTTGACAAATTGCTGTATGAATGATTTTCCAGTTTCCTGTCAAAGCGCCCGCAATTTCAATTTCCATTCAGCCAAGTGCCTGGTGGTGGCCAGTGCCTAGTGGCTAGTACCACTACTCCCTGTCCCTGCCGTTCATTATCTGCTTTGTAATGTCTGTTTATTAACAATAAAGTACTCTATATAAAAAAGACAGAACGGGCCATGGAAGATGGTCTGAAAAGAAAGGAATGGAAAGGCAACGAAACGGCAAAGGGAAAGCGCAAATAATGTTTAAACAATTTGTTGTCGTTTCGTTTCATTAAATGTCTATTCCCCCTCATTGACCAGCCCCCCACTCTGCTGTCCCTCGTCCTCCTCCTGAACCATCTTGTGCTCCTCCTCCTCCTTCTGCTCCTGCCCACTCGACACTAACCGACTGACTACTAGACAGTATTCCATATCTGGGCCGGGGGCTGTCATTATAATTTGCAAAAACTCGCTGGGAGAGCGAACTAGAAAAAAATTAGCAATAAAATGAAAAACAAAGTGAAATGGCCGCAGGAGCTGAATCTCCGCGAGAGTCGTGGCCACTTGTTGCCAGTGATTTCCTGCAATGATGACGGGATGACGGGAAGGCGGAGGTCGGCGGTCGGCGGGTTTGGGGGTAGCCAGTTGGAGTTGCGGGGGCGTCTGACGCTTCCTGGAGCTTGGCGCTTCCACTTGGCAGTCTCCGTACGCGAAATTATTATTGCTCTGCCTTCCTTTTCGTGGCAATCTATTTATACCCTGGTAGAGGGTATTTTTTTCCATTTAGTAAGCCCAAAATGGCATAATATCTGTGATATGTATAATATTAGTTTCTTAACTTAAGGTTTGTCTCTTAAATTTAATACATTCTTTCATTAACTACCCGCCTTGCTGATAAGATAATTATTGAAAAATAATAAAAGTAGTAATATAGCAGCCTAAAAAACATTAAAGTCTTAGGAAAATACCTTACTTTAAGCCGGAAACTTTAAAATAAAATCAATTTACTAATCTTAAAAATCCTCTTGACCAACTCCTAGAGTATAGGGATTTCAGCTTGCAGAATTCAGCTAGGAAAACCATAATTTTTTCGATGTTCTTTTTGTTTGTTGCGCTGTAAAAATTATTATTTTTATGCTGCCTGGCTGGCTAGTCAAGTCGAGAACAGCACCAGAGAGAGAGTGTAGTCCCGGGCCAGGCCAGTGAAGTGGACGGAACTGGTTGGGTGAGGAGAGGAGTGGAGTGGACTCGACTCGAGTCTGTTGCCGTCTTCATGCCACTTGAATGACTCATTAAAAGTGATTTCATTTTAAAACATTTTCCACGCTGCGGTCGCCGCTCCAGCCCCTTGTCTCTAGTCCTTCGCCTGCAGATATTCCCGCTCCACTTTCTTAGTCATTGTCGTTGTCTCCCAGGCTTAGCGCCTTATCAGCTGGCTGAGCCGCCTCTCATTTCCTCCGTCCTCAACTTGGCCGTCATTTAATTTACTTTCGAGTTTACTTTTTTAATTCGCTTAGCTACTTTGACTGTGTGCCTTTGCTTCAGCTTCTGCCTCTGCCTGTGCGTTGTTGTCGTAAATCCTTGAAAAGAATAAGGGAAAAAAGAAAGGCCAAAGAAATGGGATAGGGACTGGGATTGGGACAGGACACTTGGCCAACGATAAGCGTGAACCGGGCCAAGTTACTTTGCGTAATAAGATACGAAATTGCAATGTCCAGCAAGCAATATCGCCGCTTTCGTCAGCCTTTTTTACCTAATTCCCTGGATAAGCTGCATTATGCGCCACACCGGTGGCATAATGACAACAACAACAACATTCATGTTGCACTTCCACCTCCTCCATCGTTACTGCAAGCGGTGAGTGGGCGCCTCTTGAGCAGCAGTGGCTTTCAGAATGGACCAACGCACGTTCGGCCTCTCAGGATGTGTTCCATGGAGCTACTTCATCTGAGTTGGCCCCTCCATGCACTTAGGAAACAGATCAAGGGTTTAACTTATTCAAATCAGGTAAGGAGAACCCTCAAAAATGGCTGAAATTGGGGGGAACTAGTACAGGATGTAGCCAAATGATAGTAAATTTAACAGGTTAAGGGGTTTCAAGAAGTCTTTCCACATTCTTTAGTTACTTTAATTACTTAAATTACTCCAATATATGCATATTTTTACAAAGAATCTAATGAGAAGTTGTTAACTAACTTTTACTAATATCTCAGAATTGTAGAACTATAACCCTTTGTATATATAGAAACATTGATTACATTTC